AGTGAGGGGCTGGGGTGTGGCTCAGTGGTAGAGCCCCTGCCTAGGATTCCCCAGTGAGGGGCTGGGGTGTGGCTCAGTGGTAGAGCATTTGCCTAGAATGCTCCAGTAGAGGGTAAAAAAAAAGCTGGAGACCCTAGGTTCCTTGAAGGCATGTGGTAAAGTTTTATTTTAGAGAAAAAAAAAAAAATCCCTCTAATACAGTAGTTCTCAACCTGTGAGTCATGACCCCTTGGGCGCCACATATCAATTATCCTGCCTATCAGGTATTTATAATATGATCCATAACAGTAGCAGAAGCACAGTTATGAAGTAGCAACAAGATGATTTTATGGTTGTGGGTCACCACGACATCAGGGGCTGTATTAAAGGGTCCCCGAATCAGGAAGGTTGAGATCCACTGCCCTGAAATACGGGTGTCACAGCGTATCGTATCTAGACTTGTCTGCTCATTAGCACACCCAGCTCCTGTACTTGTGATACGGTACAGTCCATGTGAGCCGGGTACATTAGGATGCCAGGTGCCAACCTCCAGCCCAGAAAGCCCCTTGGAGGGACCAGAAACGGCACCTTTCTTCTCAGAGACACCTGAACCGGAAAGCTGTCTCACCGAATGTGCAGCGGAGTGACGCATGCGTTACAAATGGCCTTCCTTGGCCGCCATGCTGTCCTTACACAGTCTGTGTAAGGCTGGCCAGGAGGCGGTGTGGGTGGAAGAGGGGCCTCACCTCCGCCATTCTTCTCGTAGGAGATCAAGAGCAACAAGACCATTCTGCACTTGGCTGTCCAGGCCGCCAACCCTCCCCTGGTTCAGTTGCTGCTGGGGCTGCCGAGGGGGGACCTGCGGGCCTTTGTCAATATGAAGGTGGGGCTTGGCCTTAGGTGTGTGGGTGCCCTGAGTTACAGTAGCCAGGGGCAAGTGGGCACAGGGGTTCTGTGAGCTGTGGATGTCTTGGGGGGGTACTTGCAGGTGTGAAAGGAGCGTGCCCTCTGTACCGGGGTGGGTGGGGTACGGCCGTGGAGGGAGGGATGGGAATGTACTGGGCATGGCAGGACCGGAAGTGAACGCAGAGGATCCAGGGGTTCAGGTCTGGGTCCCTGGGGCTCAGCCCTCCCTTTGTGGTTACAGGCACATGGGAACACGGCCCTCCACATGGCTGCTGCCCTGCCCCCCGGGCCGCCCCAGGAGGCCATCGTGCGCCACCTGCTGGCGGCTGGAGCGGACCCCACGCTGCGCAACCTGGAGAACGAGCAGCCGGTCCACTTGCTGCGACCCGGGCCGGGCCCTGAGGGGGTGAGCGCTGGCCTGACCTCTGAGCTGGCTAGGGGTGCCCCTAACTGCACCCAACACTGGGTTAGAGGGGGGCATTCAGTCTTGGAAGGTGGCTCTCCAAAGAGGGCCTATGCTGAGTGACCTAGTATCCCAGCACTTGAGGCAGGAGAGTGTGAGAGCGGGGGCCAGCTTGGCCTGCGTAGTTAGACCCTGCCTCGAAAAGAAGGAAAACCAAAACTACCCCAAACCGTGACCTCTGACCCTACAGTCGGACCCCTTCCTTCAATATGACGACTCCTTCCGACTTCCTTTCTTTGTACCCTCAACCCTGAGTCTTGAGCTTAGGGTGTGGCCTTCAGTCCTGCACTGAGGTCTCCTATTCCTGTCCCTCTCCCTGGATCCTGACCTTCAGTGTGATTTCTGACCCTGGCCTCTGCCCTTTGACTCCCAACAATGCTGGCCCCATGGTGGGAACTCCAACCAGCAAAACCTTCCTGGCTTTCGGGTCTCTACCAGAGTCTGAACAGAGGCTCACCCAACCCCACGTGGGTTTCAGTGTATAGCCCATGGTGTCCCCTGACCCCCACCCAAACCTCAGCCATTGCAAGTAGTGGGGTGACAGGCCTGGACCACTACACAGCGCCTCAGCCCCTCCCTTGACTTTAGACCTACGACCTTCCCACCCGGCTGACTGCACTCAGCCCCTCCCTTGCCAGTACACCACCAAGGCACCCCAGCTCTGAAAGCCCTCCCCCAGCCTCCCTCATACCTCACTCTGCCTTTTTTCTTCTTTGTCCCTAGCTCCGGCAGCTGTTGAAGAGGAGCCGTGCGGCACCCCCAGGCTTGTCCTCTTAGGACTGAAATCCAGAACCTGGACTGATTTTTCCAGTCCCCACCGTCCCGTGGGACAGTCAGTGTATGCTCATGTCGCAGATCCATGATAACGTATGTGTAATATCCTGCCATTAGGGTCTTACATTAAAACCTCAGAGTGGCACTGGGAGAGGTGAGCGGTCCCCAATATTTGGGGTCACGTGATACCTCCTCCCCCTACAAGGGGCTGTCTAGATGATTTCTGTGAAATCGAACCCACTTGACCGTTTCTGTGAAACGCCCTAGAAACCTATAACTCTCTCTGGATCGGTTACGATCACCGCCCCCCAGGCCCAGTCTCACACCCCAGAAACCCCAGTGGGGCCTCCATGAGAGTTGAGGCATCCCAGTACCATCCCATCAGTGTCCCTCCCCAGGACCCACACCCCTTAGGTGTCGGAAAGGTGGCATTAAAGGGCTCTGAGTCCTGACTGCATTGTCACTTAGAACTCAATGTTCCAGGCTCAATGTCTCAGTGAATCTATCCCCTTGACCTGTGTATTGCTGTAGCTACCAATTAAACTCTATTTGGACTCAGACTGTGTGGTGCCGTTTAAACTGGGGAGCATCGGTGCAGGAAAGTGGCACGTAGGGGTCACATTTGGCTGATAGAAGGGCTAGGGACAGATCCAATGCCTAGTGAGGGGATTCTTCTGATTTTCAGATGGCTATCCCTTCCTGGCCCTGACATTTCAGACAACTGGTATCCAATCCCCTTTGTAAAATGTGGGAAGACAAGCAGGGTGGTGGTGACACACACCTTTGATCCCAGCACTTGAGAGGCAGAGACAAGCAGGTCTATGAGTTTGAGGCCAGCCTGGTCTAGATAGTGGGTTCCAGGGCAGCCAGAGCTGTGTAATGAGACCATGTCTCAAAACAACAACAGAAGATGTGAGAAGACTTCAAAGGTAGGGTGCTTATCAGGCTGGGGTGTGGCTCAGTAATGGTGTCCTTGCTTAGAATCCCCCAGTGAGGGGCTGGGGTGTGGCTCAGTAATGGTGTCCTTGCCTAGAATCCCCCAGTGAGGGGCTGGGGTGTGGCTCAGTAATGGTGTCCCTGCCTAGAATCTCCCAGTGAGGGCCTGGGGTGTGGCTCAGTAGTGCTGTCTTTGCCTAGAATCCCCCAGTGAGAGGCTGGGGTGTGGCTTAGTGGTAGAGCACCTGTCTAGAACCCACTAATGAGGGGCTGGGGTGCTGTTCAGTGGAAAAATATTCTGCCTTGTGTTGATAGGCACAGTGGCACATGCCCTTAGTCCCAGAAGGCAAGGGCAGGCAGATCTCTGATTTTAAGGCCAGCCTGGTCTAGCTAGAAAGTTCTAGGGCAGCCAAAAATTCACACTGAGATTTTGTCTAAAAATAGACAGCTGGGTTCGGTAGTGCACACCTACAATCCCAGCACTTGGGGAGGCAGAGGCAGGCGGATCTCTGTGAGTTCAAGGCCAGCCTCGTCTGCAAGACAGCCTGGACAGCCAAGGCTACACAGAGAAACCCTGTCTCAAAAAACAAAACAAAACAAAACAAAACAAAACTCTAGCCCTGGCCAAACACCAAACAAACAAACAAAAAAATTGGGGGCCATAGCACACAGGACTCAAGTTTGAGTCAAGCCTGGACTATAGAGAAAATACTTTCCTCAAATATTTTTAATCTGGGGGCTGGAGAGATGGCTGAGAGGTTAAGAGCACTGTCTGCTCCTCCAGAGGTCCTGAGTTCAATTCCCAGCAACCACATGGTGGCTCACAACCATCTATAGTGAGATCTGGTGTCCTGTTCTGGCGTGCAGGTGTTCAGACAGACAGAACACTGTGTACATAATAAATAAATATTTAAAAATATTTTTAATTTTATTAAAAGGAGGGAGAAAGTAAGGAAGAAGGGAAGGAAGGAAGAAAGGAAGCCAGTTCTGGGGTATCAAGCCCACTTCCTGCTCTAATCTAACAACCCTCAACTAATGAGACAGGAAGTGATAGATACAATGCCTCAGGTCCCATATCTCCTGGTTGCATTGACTCTGGAGTAAAGGTTTGCTGTTCCCTGTTTCCCTCTACAGAACCAAGCTCCTCCAGCTCCCAGTAGCACTTAGTGACACAGCCTCTCTTTCCTGGCCTCCCCTTGCTGTGGCCTTGCAGCCTTCCTACCAATGTGCTCTCCCGTAAAAATTGCCTTTGGGTGTCCTCAGCATCTGCTTCCAGAGAAACTCAAAGCCAGATGGGGCATCCACCAAGCTTACTTCTCAGATTTGCCCCACAGCCATCTGTCTCTCTACCCCATTGAGTCACCCATTGCCCCCAGTCCAGACAGCCCCTTTGCCCAACAGTGTTCTCTGGTGTATGGACCCTCATGGGCCACCAAGTATATACATGAGGGTTTGTTCTGTCACCTTGACTGGATTAGGAAGCATTTAGGAGCTAGTACAGTGCTGGGTGTGTCTGAGAGGGTGTTTCTAGGGACGACAGTGAAGATTCGGTGAACAAATGGCCACACCCTTTGATAGATTCCTAATATAATGGCGTTACTGGTAGATGGTCAAAGGTTGCGTCTGGACAAATGAGGTCATTGGAAGCATGTCTGCCGGGGGCTATGTTTTGTCTTGGCCTCTTTTTCCATGCTCCCTGTCATCGTGAAGAAGCTTTTCTGCCATGTGCTCCTGGTGCCATGATAGCACTGACTCTCAGTAGGTCCTTGGACCAAATTCTCTGAAACTGTGAGCCAAACACTGCCCTCAAGATGTTTCTTCCAGGTAGCTGGTACCACTACACTATATCAGTGTATTTTAGGGCCAGTGCAACCCAGCTCGGGGCTTCAAACATCTACCTCGTAATTGCCAATGGCTCCGCAGTCTGGATTGGGCTCAGCCGGAGGCGACTTGCTTCGGCCACTCATGATGGCCGAAGTCAGCCGCGGGTTTTTGCTGTAGCTGGATACTGAGCCAGTCGCAGGAATGCTAACTCAGCCTCGTGTCGGCAGCTGTTGAATAGACCAAGAGTCTCCTCATGTGGTCCAACCAAAAATCAGAGCCAGGTAACAGTTACCAGGTGACCAGGTGAAGGAAGCAAGGGCTGTAGCCCACATCACACCGTTCTGACTAGCTAAAGGATGGGTTTCAAGCCGATTGGCTAGGATATAGGGTAGGAGAGCGTGGTGACTTCCTAGCTCTCCACCATTCCAGGAGAAAGGAACACAGCACGGTGCTGTGGTTTTAAGTAGAACATGTAGCCTCAATTCAAGCAGGACATTCAACAAGTATTGATTTGGGAAAAAAATAAAAATAAAAGTAAATACAAATAAAAAAACAAACCAGACAGGCAGAGCCTGAAAATCCGAACTTAATTTCACCTTACGATCAAAATGGAGACTTAAAAACAAAATGGCTGCGATTATGCTAAGTTATGCTAGGCAGTAAGGCCTAGACATGTCTCAGTGCTGGTGTGCCTCCACAGTCCATCAGGGCAGGTGGACCCTCCATGTGGTGGGTTCATAGTTAGGACCACTATCTCCGTGATTCCATGTGAAACACTGTGACTAATAGCAAACTGGGGAGGAAAGGGTTTATTCGGCTCACACTTCCACAGCACTGTTCATCACTGGAGGAAGCTAGGACAGGAACTCAAACAGGGCAGGAGCCGGGAGGCAGGAACTGGAGGGTGCGGCTTCCTGGCTTGCTCCTCATGCCTTGTTCGGCCTGCTTTCTTATAGAACCCAGAACCCCAGCCCGAGGATGGCGCCACCCACAACGGCTGGGCCCTCCCCTAGCAGTCACCAATTAAGAAAATGTTCTGAAGCCCAATCTTTTCTTAATTGAGGCTCCCTCAAAAAAAAAAAAAAAAAAAAATTGAGGCTCCCTCCTCTCCAATTGCCCAAGCTTGTGTCAAGTTGACATAAAGCCATCCAGCACAACCGGGCGCAGTGGCGCATGCCTGTAATCCCAGCGCTCAGTGAGGCAGAGGCAGGCGGATCGGTGTACGTTCACGGTCATCCTGATCCACAAAGCAAGTGAAGGACAGCGTGTTGAGAGGAAATACCCTTTGCTTCAAGTTTGCCGACACATCCCATAGACCAAAGCCACAGGGCCAGATTGGCTGTGGGGCCACACTCTATCACCCCAGCTCTTGGGAGGCCGAGGCAGGAGGTTCAGAAGTTCTAGAGGACAGGAAAGGAAACGGGGGCATGGATACTAAGGCCAAGTGATGTCCTCCTTGTCGGCTGCCTCGCGGCGCTGTGTCCCCGATGCAGCCGGTGGCCCATGAATTCAGAGGAACTTGGGAATTCCTTGTACAGTCGATTGTATAATATGGTTTAGGGGTTCTATGTCCAAAAAAGTGAAAATCTTCAGTGTAAGAAGAAGTTTTTTTTTTAGGGGCACAAAGCACCAAGAGAGCAATGGCAAAATATTTTAATGATGGTACTGTTTTAGAATGTTAATTTTTAAAATGTACATGTGTGAGAGAATATGGGTGCCCAGGGAAGCCAGGAGAGGGCATCGGATCCCCTGGAGCTGGCATGACATGTGGTTGGGCTGTAGGTTGCCTAACTTGAGTGTTGAGAAACAAACCGGAGTCTTCTAGAAGAGCAAGGAAGTGCCCCTAACTGTTGAGCCATCTCTCCAGCCCCCAATAACAGTATTTTAAAATTAATAATGCGGCCTGGTGTGGTAGCACACGCCTTTGATTCTAGCACTCAGGAAGCAAAGATAGGCAGATCTCTGTGAGTTCAAGGCCAGCCTGGTCTACATAGTGAGATCCTGTCTCAAAATAACACCAACAGCAGCAACAAGGCTGCTGAGATGGCTCAGCCAGGAAAGGTTCTTGTTGCCAAACCTGATGACTTTGAACTTCATACCCAGGACCCACATTAGATAATTAACTAACTAATTAATTAATCAGAGATAGGGTCTTTCTTATTATGGAGCCCTGGCTGTCCTGGAACTTACTATGTAGACCAGGCTGGCCTTGAACTCACAGATCTGCCTGCCTCAGCCTCCCAAGTGCTGGGATCAAAGCCACCACCCTTGGTTTAGAATGTATACTTTATTAAATCGTGTGTCGTTGTGAGTTCTTTCCCTGTGGCATTAGGGTAAGGTGTATGGGCGTCCTCTGAGTTGAATAAAGGCAGGCCCACCATTACATGGACACAAACCTAGGACTTTGGTGGGCTTTGAGGTGAAGCACTCATTATCCAAGCCACCCCCTCTTCACACTGACTGTGTGTGTGTGTGTGTGTGATATTCGTGACCCGTGTTGATGCGGCTGTTTCACGAAGAACCTCTATTAGCTCATGAGGCCTTTGGGAGAGTTAGAAATAGGTGCTGGGGGCTGGAGAGATGGCTCAGAGGTAAGGAGCACTGACTGTTCTTCCAAAGGTCCTGAGCTCAACTCCCAGCAGCCACATGGTCTCACAGCCGTCTATAATGAGATCTGGTGCCCTCTTCTGGTGTGCAGGCAGAACGCTGTATAAACAATAAATGAATAAATGTATCCTCCCCCTAGCCCCCCTCCGCGCCATCGGTCAGAAACACCTCCTTTGTGTTTCAGGTTTGTTTGAGTTTTTTGTTGTTTGTGTTTTGGGACAGAGCCTCTCTAAGTATTCCAGGCTGTCCTGGAACTCTTATGTAGACTGGAGACCAGACTGGCCTCGAACTTACAGAGAACTCTGTCGGCCTGCCTCCACCTCCTGGGTGCAAGGATTAAAGTTTTGCGAGACACCCACCCCTCACCCAGTTTAAAGACCTGCAGGAAGTCAGTTATGCTAACACACAGCTTCTCCAATAGACACGCAGGATGGCCTGGTGGGGGAGGGGACTTTATTGGGATGTTAGTGGGTTAGTGAATTCCAGGGAGCGCACACACTGGGACCCCAGGCGGTGGTGGTCACCTTAAGAAGCAATAAATTAGCATAAAATAAATTACGGTGAGGGGGTCCCTCGTGGGGCAGCAGCTGGGAACTTCTAACGGGGTGGAATCTGGACCTGGGAAGGGGAAATACGAATGAATTTGTCAGGGTCTCCCTCCCCCCCAGGAGGCTGGGAGCTGGGATCAGGGGCCTGGAAGAAGGGCAGTCTGGGCTGGGCTGCGGGCAGCCAGGGGCGGGGTCAGGGGCGTTCCTCCAGGAAGCGGTAGGTGGGGTTCTCATAGCCGTGCCTCTGAAGTTCCCGGAGCTGCTGTTCCTCCAGGGTGAGCATGGGGTCCACCTACCACGGGGCCAGAGGGGGCTCAGTGCGTGGGGGCAGGGCTCCCCGCTCACTCCTACCCCACCGCCAGGTCCGCCCCGTCACCTCAACCACTCCATGGCTGATGGTCCCGTAGGGCTTCTTCTTCCGCAGAAGGAGCAAGGACAGGACAATGAGGGAGCCCCCTCCAGCTCCCATGATCAGCAGGCCGGACACAGCTTCCCGGGACACTCCAGTCCCAGCCGGCGCCTGCGGAGGGGCGACACGAGATGGAGAGCGTCTCTGAGGCCCACGGGGATCCAGTTGCAGCTTTGGGGAGCACGGCCTGGACACGGACCTCTGACCTCGCCCCCAGGATCTGCCCCCTCTTACCAGTTCATCCCGCTGGATATCCGATGAGTGGAAGGGAAAGCCCCTCGGCACAGACGCGTTCACCTGGGGGAGCAGCAGATGTCACGAACCCCCAAGGCCCGGGAAGGTAGCCCCCCAGCCCAGCAACACCAAGGTTCCTTCCTGAAGCTGAGGAATGCCAGCTTCCAGAACCTTCCCTCCACCCAGGGTCCAACCCCCCCCCCCTTACCTTTTGCTCATACTGCTCCAGTGGGGGCACCTTCTCTCTCCCAGAGGAGGAGGAATCTTGATCCGTGGATCCTACCCAACCCAAGTCACACGTCACTCCTGGAGGGTTGGGCCACCTCCAGAGGGATCAGAAAGGGCAGACTCCACCCCAGGAGGCCTCCCCCTTTATGGTTTGGGATTCAGTGGGATTTGGGGGCTGGGGTCTATGGTGTGTGATACTTACCTTTCGGAAGGGTCTCTGGGGTGTCTGCTGGCAGAAGGGGACAGATGACAGGCGAAACAGTGAAAGAAAGTAAGAATGGCTCCCCAACCCCAAGACCAAGAACCCTCCAGAGGCCCCACATACCCCTGAGGCCAGCCCAAGCTAAATAGTGGGTTCTAATCCAGCCTGGGCTACAGAGTAAGACCCTGTCTCAATAACCTAACGACCGAATTGGGCCTGATGTCACCCACGCCTGTAGTCTGAGCTACTCAGGATGTTGAAGCAGGATCAAAAGTTCAAGGCCTGTCTGGGCAACTTAGACCGTCTAAAAGAAAGACAAAGTCCTGGGTTTCTCAGCCGCTTCTTTCTTCAGGCCAAAGAAGCCAACTTTGTGAAGGAAAAGAAGTGAGGCCTTATTCCCAAAGGCAGGCTCTCCGTTCAGGCTCACTCACCGTCTTTTGATTCAGGAGGCTGAGGCCCACCCTTGTCCTCACTGCTGCTGCCAGGCACGGAACCTTCCAGTTCGCTGGGACCCAAGTGTTCAGAGTGGAGAAGCTCCTCTGAGGGGACACGCAGAAAGACTATCGGGAGCCATTCAGGAGGAACAGCAAAACAGCTCCAGAGCCCACGGAACGGCCCACCAGTCAGCAGGGCCAGGGTGATGTGTCGGAGAGGCAGAGCCAGAGGGCCACGTGTCCTGAGGGCTGCGTGCTGTGAGGGAGCATCGCTCTGCTTGTCCTCCTCTTGGTCAGCTCATCCCTCACAACAGATGAGGTATGCGGGAACTCCAAGGAGGCTGCCGCCCTCACTCACAATGACAACGCCTGATTCGGCCACCACCCCAGAAGGAACTCAGAGGTGCAGATGGCTAGCAATGGCCACTACCCTTGTTCAGCAAGGTTAGGTAAAGATGTTTTTTTGCTAGTGGCTCTGACATAGAAAACCTTAGGGAAAAGTAGACTGTTTAGCAAGGTAAAGAGTTTTTTGTCAGTGGCACGGATACAGAAAGTCAGAGAACAATTTGAAGTTAAGAAAAGTGGACTCTTAACAGTAAAGCTAGGGGCTTTTTGAGGTTGAACAAAGACATCATCCCAGAGCAGCAATGGCTGACTTGATGCTCTCAAGGCGGGTCAGTGGCTGAGACAATTGAATTCCTTCCGCTTGTCTTTGCCCTCCGCTTCCTGATACGATTTAATAAAAGCTATTAACGGGTAGACGCACATCTTAAAGGTTTAAAGTGGACAGGGCTGATCATTTTTTATGACAAAAGTTTTGATTTGTGATTCTCGCAAGATTTTTATAAGGTTACCTTTTAAGATAACTGATTCTTTCTTTGCAACCGCAAACTGAAGCCTGCCCTGCCAGTAAAGAAAACGCTGACTGAAGAATTACCTTGCCTGCTCACCTTGTTGATATATATAGCAAGTTGCTTTGTTACAAGTGTGCATGGCTTCTTGGGAATAATTTGGTTTTCCTATTTGTTTTTCACACCTGATCATGTGAGGGTATCGGGGAACATGTTTTTTTTTATGTACACTCATTGTAATAGTTCACTTAAAGAAAAAGAGAATCTAACCACATTGTGAATTTTGTACTGCTTAAAAGATCTTGCTGGAGCCAGGCGTGGTGGCGCACACCTGTGATCCCAGCACTCAGGGAGGCAGAGGCAGACGGATCGCTGTGAGTTCAAGGCCAGCCTGGCCTACAAAGCGAGTCCAGGACACCCAAGGCTACATAGTGAATCACTGTTTGGGGGGGGGGAAAGAAAGAAAGAAAGAAAGAAAGAAAGAAAGAAAGAAAGAAAGAAAGAAAGAAAGGAAAAGATCTTCCTGGAAAAACAAACCAAAACGTGGTTTGTTCCATCCACCAAGATGTGTGTATGTGTGTATGTGTGTGTGTGCAAGGTTGTTGGAATATTTTTCCATCCACCAAAATGCATGTATGTGTATATGTATGTATGTAAGGCTGGGTTGGAGCTTGCTCTCTGGAGTTTGCTCCATCTACCTGATGTGTGAATGTGTGTGTATGTATGCATGTATGTATGTATGTATGTATGCATGTATGTATGTATATGTAAAGTAGAAGACTGTAAGAAAAGCTAAATGAAGAAAAGAAGCTTGTTGGAACCTACCTGCTGGAGTCTGTCTTACTTCATCAAGTGTGTGTGTGTATGTGTGTGTGTGTGTGTATGTGTGTGTGTGTATATGTGTGTGTGTGTGTATGTGTGTGTGTGTGTATGTATGTGTGTGTATGTGTGTGTGTGTGTATGTGTGTGTGTGTGTGTATGTGGTCTTTTTCTCTCCCCTTTTCCTTCCTTCCTTCCTTCCTTCCTTCCTTCCTTCCTTCCTTCCTTCCATGATCTCCCATCACCAGTGGAAAGCCCATGCCAGAACTAACAGCCTAGCCCACACTCACCACCAGGTGCAAGCCCACACCAGGGAGCTACCAGCACTGGCTGATGACAGCAATTTAATCCGGGCCCCTCGGTTGGTTCCGGCCTGGAGAACTGACCTCAGATAACAGTGTGTTGGGTCATCTACACCCCTCCTCAGTGTCCCCAGCTGGTCTGTGAAACAAGATGGCTGAGGGGGTGCGAGGAGAGAGCGCCACAGTGGGGCTAGGGCGGGCACCCTGACAGTTGAATGGACAGGAGATTAGAGACACAGAAGAGGTGGCTCCAGGCACACAGCCTTGGGACATGCAAGGTGGGGAGCTGGATGCAGGCGGCCCCAGCAGGGAAGATGGAGGGTGAGCTTGCAACAGCCCCTCCTATTTAAGTATCAGGAGGTTGAGGGCTGGGCATTCTGGAAGGAAGTCACAGCAGATGGGGGGGGGGGCGGGCTCTGCAGGCTAACACTTCCCATAACCCTCATTCTTGTGTAGGCTCCCTCTGTTGAATCCGGATTTGGCTTGGGACTTGTTCTAACCAGTACAGTTTGGGCGAGGTACTCCAGGGATGTAGTTCAGTGGTGCGCATGCTAGCATATAAAAGGCCCTGGGTTCGATCCCAAGCACTACCCAATTATTTATTTGTTTGTTTTGCTTTTCTTTCAAGACTGGGTTTCTCTGTGTAGCCCTGGCTGTCCTGGAACTGGCTCTGTAGAGCAGGCTGGCCTCGAACTCAGAGATCTGCCCATCTCTGCCTCCTGAGTGCTAGGATTAAAGGCGTGCGCTACCACACTGGTCACTACCCAGTTTTTTGAGGTGGGTAGGCCCAATGTATGCCAGAGGGAGGAGGACTATGATTTGAGGCTGGCCTGGGCTACGTGGTGAATTCTAGGCCAGCCTCAGTTACAGAATAAAACTGTGTCTTAAAAAGCCAAAGGCTGGGGACGTGGGTTATGGGAGAGTACTTGCTTAGCAGCACACAATGTAGCCAGGTGTGGGGGCACAAGCCTATAACCCCAGCACTTGGCAGGCAGAGGAATGCTCAAAGTTCAAGGCTAGCCTGGTCTACATAGTGAGTTTCAGACCAGTCTATGCTACATAGTGAGGCCCCATCTCAAAAAAACAACAATTAAAATCAAACCATACAACTGACAACTAGCGATACCACCAAAAGAACCAAATCCAGGCCAGACAGAGGAAAATTATTCAAATTAAGTCCAAAAAAAAAAAATGGTTCTTAATTTGAATCACCAAGTTCTAGGGTGATCTGAATGAAGAATGGGGAGCTGAAGGTTGGGAGTCAAATTTTGCCCTCGGAGAACTGAAATTCGGGACAGAAGTCGCGGGCACTCACGGATCTGGGGCCGCAGCTCCTGAGCCAGGTGAGGGTTCTGGTCCAGCAGCCCCAGGCTCTGATTCATTCGTTCTTCAATCACCTGAAGGTGGGTCTGGACCTGCGGGGAGCGAGTGTGAAGGTTGAAGCAGGCCGTGCAGGCCGGAGAAGAACAGAAGCATGAAAATGAAAAA